TGGTCATGTTAGCAGCTGCAGATCTGTAGCTCTCCGAAAAAATAATTTGACAGATCGGAGAGCTAAAGTGCCACCCACTGAGAAAACTGTATATTTATTGCGCACAAAAAAATGCGCTGTTTATCGATTTATTTCTCCATGTTTTTAAAACTATACTCTCAAAATATTATTAACGGTGATTTCCAAGCATAATTTTTCACTGTTTCCACAACAAAACATACCTTATAGATGTTGTTTATAGCCCTCCTGGCCCTGAAATCGAGATCATCGAAAATTTTGTCTGTTTATACTGCCATTTTGGTTTGTAAGACAATTCGACCCAACACGCTTCGTGTAGATGTCAACTACGAAAGAACTTAAATGAAGAGTACGCAATTTTTTGAAATCTACATTTTTTGCAATTGAGTTAAGAATTTGGAAGAATTAATCCATACAAAAGCGCAATTTTTGTGCGCAATAAATAATTAGGTTTTTCAATAGGTGGCATTGTAGCTCTCTGGTCTATCGATATATTATTTGGAGAGCTACAGTTCTGCAGCTATCATGTTAGGTACTGGAAAATATGAAAATATGGAAAATTTTGCTGTTTTTAAAGGCATAGTACAAAAAAATACAATCATTTACAAATGAAGCATAGAAAAATGAAGGTCAATATCTTATTATATTAAACAGTTTAAATAATAAATCGGTGGGCAAATGATATGCATAAAAGAATTTTAAAGGCGAATATTAATTTTTTCTGCATATGAAGCATTTTTGCTTCCCAGTTACTTCTAAGGGATTACTCTACATGTATATATAATTTTTTTAAATAAATAATTATTTCACGCCGGGAGCAAGCCCCTGTGCTTTTTTCTTTCCATTTTTGGCTTTCATGCATTTAACCCGAGATTCCTCTGCTTTGAAAATTGTGACACCTGAAGGGGCCTCTGCCCTGACTCTCCCCTGACCCCGGTACATTTCACAATAAAAATATTACATGAAACACGTTGATGAGAGACAAAGGTCAGGTCAGACAGTGACAGACACAATCTCTAAGTAACACTGTATGTATACTTAGAGTAGCTTACTTAGACGGTTAGATGTTCAAACTACCATGATTTACAATTTTTACCGCACTAGGTTTTCCTCATGAGCAATCTTTTTATGGAGATAAGAAATGCATCTTGGTGTACAGGGGCAAGCTCCAGCTGTTTAAAAAATATTTATTGAAAAATCATTATTTGTATAATTGGTATACATGTATATGATATTTTAAATTTTATTTTTTACAATAAAAGCACACTTTCAGCCAGATAGCATCAAATTTTATTTTAATGCAAAAATACATTTCCTTTATTTCCCTTAACTGTAACTGTAAAGTTGGGAGGTGTCATTTAATAAACATTTCTTACAGTGATAAGTTACGTTAAAAAAAACTGGGGGGGGGGGGCAGCCCCCACCCCCAGGGCCCCCTCTTGCTTCATTTCTGGTTTGAAACAATTGTCCAAATTGGGTTTGATAAATCTACAATACATCAATAGGAAATCAATGCCCTAAGCAGGACAAATACAGAAAAATTGCCTGCAATTGTCCAAAGTCAATACTTGCCATATAAATATGGGACTAAAAAAAATTCTAGCCTAATATTTTGCACTGTAAATTTCTATCCCTAGCATTCATAGCATTATTAATCACTTTGCTTGAAATGATATATTTTTACCAAGCAATGAATTTCAAAAATCAACATACATCTTTCGAAGTCTACAGTCGCCTGCGTGGCGCAGTGGTTAAAGCGTCTGCTAGAGAGTCGCGAAGTAAGGAGTCAATCCTTACGTCCCGGGCTCGAATCTCACTGTGGGACGTGGAGACCGGTCCTTCGGATGAGACCCGTGTTGCAGTAGGTGCTGGCACGAAAAATGATCCCTCCCTGCTCAATGGCCCTCAGTGCCAATGTATAGGACAAAATTTGCAGCCTGACCGGCAAGTTGTGACGCCTCCATGTGAGTGAAAAATTCTTCTCGAGAGAGACGTTTAAAAATATACATAATCAATCAATTGAAGTGTACGAATTCTCTTTAATTTTGCGTGTGTTCTTTTTAAACTTTTAATTTCAAAAGATTAGTCAAACAATGATATATATATATATATATATATATATATATATATATATATATATATATATATATATATATATATATATATATATATATATATATATATAACATTAATAATAAAACATGCATCATTTCATTAATAATACAGTCCACATATGTATACAATTATATAATAATTTAAGTTGAACGTTGGTCTTTTATAAATTTTCTTGACTTGATTTTAAAATTTTGAAGTGATGGAGACATTCTTACATTTAAAGGTAAATTGTTCCACAAAACCGCACCTGAATATTGAAAAGAATTTTGAAATATTTTGGTTTTGTGCTTTGGAACACTTTAGTCAAAATTAGATTCAGATCTGAGATGGTACGAATTGGTTGATTGGTAGTTGAACATTTCAGACAGGTATATATATATATATATATATATATATATATATATATATATATATATATATATATATATATATATATTGTAAAAATTGTACAACAAAACATCTGCACACCGCACTATGTACCCTTTTCTGAATACATAAAACATTATGGTAATACATTGTGAATTAGGTGAATTTCCTCTTGAACTGGTCAGGGAAATGAAAATCCTTTAACATTGGGTTTTTTTTTCTTTTTAAGTAGTAATAGTTGTACATGAATTTCATTGGCTAGGCTTAGCAAAATTGTACATGTTCAATAGAAACTGTAACACAATGTACATATGTGCTTTACTCCCGAAGACCAAGTGCCCTCAAATTAGTACAGTTACTTAGTCATGTTATTACACAGAATAAAAAAGAATTATGTAATCTAGGAAAATTTGTGCAACTAGCGAGTGCATCAAGAACAGTGCCTTTCACTTGTTTATACATTATAGAAAATATAATATGGCCGTATTTGTCGCCATCTTTTGCTTTTTGTAAGCCGTATGTAATTTTTTATAAAGTTTATGTTGTATCTAGTCAGAACTAAAGTTTTCTTTGTGACCTATTTTCTATGGGGGAAATCAGAACGTATGTGTTCATATCTTGTAAAATGTATATATTTATATGTGCGTGCAAAATGTTTGTTTTGTTTTTTGCTGATTTCCCCCCTTGTTTGTAAAACTTAATTTTTCGACATTTACTATTGAATAAATGATATTTTCATTCTCACAGATATTTGTCCTGTCGTAATTGAAATAGAATTCTGAGCAAAACAAGGCTGCGGTGAGCTGTTTGTATCTAGGAAATAGTGAGAGACATAAAATATAATATGTACATGATGTACTATACATGTTGCATGTTAAATCATTACGTGTATTATACATGTTATATTTGTTATGAAACGTGTATAATTGTGAGATATATGTCTCTTGATTTCAATAAACTGAACTAAACTGAGATAAAATAAATAGAATGCCTAATGTCATCAATGTACCTTAATTTTCATAGAATAAATTCATTTTCAATTAATAGAAAAAAAATGGTTTTTTTTTTTCATATTTGCAAAATCTGATTTCTACTTCATGCACTATTTAGAATACCTGTACCCTCTAGATTTTCTGACTTCTGAAAAAGTACGTTAACTTTGATAATTACATCACGACCGAGTAGCACGGATATGTAAGATCTACGTCTACACTTGTCGGATCTTTACAGCAAAATACATTGAAGTGATAAGCGATCTGCTCCTTATATATGGGTTGTAGGGAGAGCTTGGAAGAACAGGAAATATGGCGGACTTTGTCTTTTTACGAGTAGTGTTCAGCTTTAATCACGAAACTTGTTATTTGACTCACCTTAAATAGTACTTATCTGGAAGAACTTAAGTTATATTTGATACATGTATCACTTGAGAAATAAGACCCCCTCCCTTTTTGGGGTAGGTTGGGACCACAAATACATTCAATCTTTCCAAGGCTAAACTGAATTTTGCTTTGATCCCAGCTAAGGTGCTCAGGTGAGGGATGTGGTCCCTGCATGGGGCTTTTGTTTCAAATTTAAATTGATGCATATTCTTTTCTGCTTAATTCCCTAGCACTGCTCTTTTTGGAAAAATAAAGTTTGAAAAATTTGAAATGTGAAAATCTTTATTAATTATGACCAAAACAATGTCTTTATATTGATCATCTGAGTGAGTTATATAGAAATGTGATTTTTTTTAAATATAGGATAAAATAAAAACATGCATATTTTATAGTTGAAGGCTTGTTGTGGTTTCGTCCCTGGAAAATGTTTCAAGGCTCTTTTCTCTAATATTTTGTTGTGTATTCCAACCTTTATATGTAACTGTGAGAATGACATTGAAAGAAAACTCGTCTAACTTTTATGATCTGGAACCTTGCCACTTGTTTGTTTAGGTACAAATGTTAACTATAACACTCTAAACATGTTAAAATATGCCATATTTTTTTTCAAACTTTATGACATGTTGCCATGGTAACAATGACACATAGCAACCAATGTTTTGCATAACTTTCAATAACAGTGTCAAAGACTCTAAAGGGAGTTTTAAGAAATTCAGAGACAGTACATATACATACCACATGTATAGCTCCTGTATAAATGTTCAGGTCATTATAGATGATGGCGCTTAATAACTTTTCATTATAGTTACATGCCATGGGTTTACCTTACAAGCATTTTAGGATTATTGCATCATCAATGAATGTCCCCTACCGGGTTCCCCCTTTTCTTTTCTCTAGAATGTCATTTTATAAAATGCAAAAGTTATGACTGTTATATATGTATGTATTTAGGTCGGGCTCGGTATACCGAGTTTCCGGCCAGTAATAAACGAGTAGCCATCTTTGATGTGTGTTCCCTGTCTCGTCGGATACATAACATGGTGTCAGAAGTCGGACCAAGCCACGTCCGTCTGTAAGAAACAACTCTAGAAAGTCAGTAAGCATCCTGTCAATCAATTTACAATGTCTATTCCGTTCGAACAACCCTCCATGGACTGGTCTCACCCAGAAACCTACAGTGAATTTCTGCGGTTCAGACAGCACGTGGACTTCGTTTTCAAAGGACCTCTGTGCAAATCTGACAAGAAGGACAAAGCCGGCTGGCTAGGAATTTGGATTGGGAAACACGGCCGCGAGGTATATAAAACGTTTGATTGGGAGCAAGGAGATGCAGATGACCCCAAGAAAATTTTGGACAAGTTTGAAGCATACGTAAGACCTCGGAAAAACAAGAGAGCTGCAAAATTTAAAGTTTTCCAGCGTAAGCAGCAAGAAGGCGATCCATTCGACAACTTCATCAAAGACCTGCGTCTAATTCTTATGGATTGTGAGTATGCTGACACTGATGACATTTTGATTGATGCAGTTATCGCTGGAGTGTCTCATAAGAAAGTTCAAGAACGACTTCTTGACCAAGGACAAGGTTTGACTCTTGCTAAAACCCTCGAAATAGGCCGTCAGTATGAGATGTCCCAAAAACAATTAAAATTGATCCTTGGATCAGAGGAAATTTCAATCTCCAAACTCGCAGTTAAGCAGAAACCGGAACTAAGACGACAGGAGAGTAAAACAAAACGTAAACCTGAAAAAGTGAAAAACCCCTGCACACGCTGTGGATTGGATGCCAATCACGCCAAATGTCCAGCGATTGGAACACTGTGCAGTTATTGCAAGAACCCAGACCATTGGCTAGCTGTCTATCGGAAGCGCAACCGAGCCAAGATGTACTCACTAGACCCAGAGGGCTCATCCGGATCTGAGGACAGTGATGAGAGTGAAAGTACCATCATAGACATTCTTGCTACCAGTGATGGGAAAGCTGACACTTATAAATCAGACAAATGGCTCACTACACTGTACATTCAGAACAAGCCAATAGAGTTCCGTATTGACACAGGAGCTAAATGTAATGTAATCGTCAAGGCACAGTACACAAAAGCAGAACTACATGGAAATAAACAGAAATCACATAAAATACTGCGTTCATTTACCAACCACACCATTCGTCCAGAATTTTGTGTCGACTTACCGCTTGCTAGTCGTGTTGGTGACGCACAGATTAGCACCAAGTTCGAAATAGTCAACGTTCCCCAGGAAAACGTTATCACAGGTTCTACAGCTGAAAAACTTGGTATCATTACACGCCTTGACACTGCTGCATGCAACTCTGTACAGTTAGAACAGTTCAGTGACTTCCCCGATCTTATTCGTACTACTGGTACCCTCCCAGGAGAACATACCATTAAAATTGATCCTAACGCCAAAGGTGTGATCCATCCAGTGCGCCGTCAACCAGCTTCACTTAAGCCACAAATCATTGATAAACTGAGAGAAATGGAAGCAGATGGATTCATCACCCCTGTTGAAGAGCCTACTGACTGGGTTAGCTCTATGGTCGTGAGCCTCCAGAACAACAAAGTGAGAATTTGTATTGACCCCAAAGACCTTAACGAAGCCATCAAGAGAGAACATTACCCCATGAAGACTGTAGAGGAAGTGTCATCCTCTATCCCGGGTGCAAATCTGTTTTAAGTTCTCAATGCTAAATCTGGCTACATGCAAATCAAACTCGACAATGAATCATCTTATCTCACTACCTTTAATACACCCATTGCCCGTTTCCGCTGGCTTAGACTTCCATTCGGTATAAAATCGGCCCCAGAGATCTACCAACGATTCATGGATCAAATGCTGGAAGGAATTGAGGGAGCATTTGCCATCATGGATGACATTCTGATAGCAGGCCATGATCGTGAGCACCATGACAGTATATTCCGAGCTGTAATCAGAAGAGCAACCGAGTACAATTTGCGTCTAAACTATGACAAGTGCAGAGTTCGCAGGACATCAGTACCATATGTAGGACATATCATCAGTGCTGAAGGCGTCAGCCCTGATCCGGAAAAGATACAAGCAGTGTGCAACATGCCAGCACCCAACAACAAGGAAGCAGTAAGGAGATTCCTCGGACTTGTACAGTACCTCTGTAAATTTATCCCAAATATGAGCCAAATAGATGCGCCTCTGAGACAACTTCTTAAATCTGACATTCCATTTCAATGGGACAAAGCACATCAGGAGAGTTTTGACAAACTAAAAACAGCTTGTACGTCTGCTCCAGTCTTAGGTCTCTATGATGTGAACAAGCCAACAGAAATCCAGTGTGATGCCTCAAAAGACGGACTAGGTGCTATCCTCATCCAAGAAGGCCGGGTGATTGCATACTCATCCCGGGCACTTACAGATACGGAAAAACGATACGCTCAAATAGAAAAAGAGATGCTCTCAGTCGTACATGGAGCATCAAAGTTTCATTGTTACATATTTGGAAAGCCAGTAACTGTCTACAATGACCACAAACCGCTGGAACAGATTTTCAAAAAGCCCATCTTGTCTGTGCCCATGAGAATTCAGAAAATGCTTCTCAAGCTTCATTGGTATGACATAACCTTCAAATATCGGAAAGGCAAGGACATGGCAGCGGCTGATGCATTGTCTCGAGCTTACTTGCCAAACAACGGACCAGATCTCGATGTAGCTGACATCAGAGCCTTTGACCTACTATCTGTCAGCAGAGAGAGGCAAGAATAAATCAAAGAGCGGACCCTTGTAGAGCTACAAGGACTATACACTGTCATTGTCTGGCCTGACACAAAGAACGAAACTCCTCTCAGCGTGCGGGACTACTGGACCTCCCGCAGTGAACTATCTGTAATAGATGGTGTGATATTTAAGGGCATGCGCATTGTGATCCCGCCGACTCTACGGTCACACATGCTTAGCCTTATACACCAGTCTCATCTTGGAATTATAAAGTGCAAGCAGCGAGCACGGGAAGTTATGTACTGGCCTGGAATGAACTCCGAGATTGAACAACTTGTTAAAGACTGTGAGAAGTGCGCCACATTCCAAAACAAACAACCACCGGAACCCTTAAATCCAACACCAGTCCCAGACTTACCTTATGCAGTAGTAGGGTGCGACCTATTTGACTTTGAGTCCAAGAAATACATTGTGGTAGTCGACTACTACTCGAAGTATATTGATTGTGTGGAGCTTCAGTCCCAGTCATCATTTGCCACCATAGAAACCTTAAAATGCATATTTGGAACCCATGGAATCCCCAGAGAAATCCGATCTGATAACGGGCCCCAGTTCAGTTCATGCGAATTCCGCAACTTCTGCCATGAACTGGACATCAAACACGTCACGTCAAGTCCACACTTCCAGAGCTCAAATGGGGCAGCAGAGCGTGCCGTTCAAACTGTGAAACGTCTATGGAGAAAGTCGGTGGACAAACAGCTTGCCCTTCTAAACTATAGAACCACACCGATAGAAGAAATTAACCTGTCTCCATCGCAGCTACTTATGGGAAGGAGACCACGTAATACGTTACCTGCAGCATCCGATATTCTGCGACCGAAAGGCCAAAACCATGATATTATTAAGCAGAGTCTACAGTCAGCCAAGGACAAGCAGAAAACTGCTTTTGACATCAAAAACAGAAGCAAAGAACTGTTACCTCTATATCCGACAGATCCCGTGCGAATCATGCCACAACAGGGAGGAAAAGAGTGGGTCCCAGGAACTATCGTACGTCATCATGAAGCACCTCGGTCATATATCGTGCAAGTTGGAAATCGCCGGTTGCGTCGGAACCGCAAACACTTGAGATCATCAACTCACAAGGCCAATGAAGCAGTAAACAACTACGCAGATAATGGAAAATTTCATGATGAAAGTCCGTCCAAAGATAATTTGCAGGAGCCAACGGCATTGCAGGAGCCAACCAACTTGACCCATACCCCAGCGATCGAAACAGAAATCTCTGATGCTTCCCAAAGAGCCGACACCAGCATCGCCCCAAAGACCACAAGATCAGGGAGACACATCATTCCACCCAAAAAGTTGGATCTGTGAAGTGATTTGTACGGTGAATGTAAAGTGATGTGAAATGTGTATATGTAGTGAAAAAGAAAATTGTCATTTGTTTAGTATTACAGAAATATGTGCCATTGTTCTATTTTTGTTTCTTCGCATTTTATATCATTATGCTTTATCATTTGTATGTAGGCATGTAGCCTGATTAACTTTAATTTTCAATTTCTCAAAAAAAAAAAAAAAAAAAGATGACTGGTATTTTGGACTCTTAAAGCAATACTGTATCGAACATTTTCTTGTAACATGCTGACATACTAAACTTTGTTTTTATGTGTGAAAAGGGAGATGTTATATATGTATGTATTTAGGTCGGGCTCGGTATACCGAGTTTCCGGCCAGTAATAAACGAGTAGCCATCTTTGATGTGTGTTCTCTGTCTCGTCGGATACATAACAATGACCAAGGTAAAAGTGTTTGATGTTAAAATTTTGAGGTTATGCATGACTTTAATCTAAAACAAAAATAAATAAAACACATAACGGAAATTCAACTCATTTTTTCAACATCTTCTTTTGGCTTCATGTTTATCATGTTGACCTTTGGAATTTAGCGCAGCACGAACCCGATCTTAAACCATTATGAAAAAGTTAAAACGCCATAAATCTATCAAAAATCGATGAAGCGTAACGACATTCTAACTTAATCTGTAACTCACTAAGATGCACTCACATGCCGAAATTCAGCTCAATATCTGCAAGCGTTTAGAAATTAAGTGCGGAAACCCAAGTAGGACAGACTTACACACAGACATGGGGACAGCTAGTCCGACGGACAGACTCAGAGGAAACCTATAGCCCTCCAGTTTCACCGGATGGGGACTAATAAAGTACAAAAAATTTACTGATGCTCGTAAATTACTGTGGTCTGTCAAACACTGAATAATCTTTACAAACATATATGAGTGCGTGTCAAAAGTGGATTTATTTTCTTTGTTGCTATGGGAAATTTTCTGTTGCTATGGCGATTAGTATTTGCAAAATATTCCTGGATTCATAAAGAAGTCTCAGAAATAGGTTTTTACTTTAAAAATGGATTTTCGTATCCACTGATAAGATTTAATTCCATAAATAACTCGCATATTTGACAATTTGTCTCTTTCTCTTAATCAAAACATCCATTTTTGTTGCTAGGCAACCGATTGTAAATATTAAAAAACACACGTTTTTGAATTTAAATTCCAAAAAGAATATTCCTTTACGTAAAATATACCATACTCTTGTATTGTGCGAGAAGTTTGAGATATATGGCCTTGAAAATTGCCAAAATTAACAAAAATGCTGAATCAGCAAAAAAGGCAAAACATGTATATCTTCCATTGCCCGTAAAAGAAATATCTTAAAATAAAAAATTCCATGTATTACAAGGTTTTATCACTTGAAATATTTATCTTTATGATAACATTATTTAAGAACCCGTCTGGTAATATTTACATTCAATTTCAAGCCTCTACGTTTAGTGATATATTTGTCCATCCACATGGAAAATTAACCGGTTGCTAGGGAAAATTTCTTTGGCCATGTTTCCATAGTAACCAGGACCCAAAATAATAATCATTTTACAAACGTGGTTCATAGTGTAAGAGAAACCTATGTGTTTAAAATCATCGAATTCTGAGAACCGTCATGAATCACTTTTATACACATATAATCTGATTCTTACAGAGACCCGTACTTAAATTTTCGCAAGCACACTGTCTCGCGTAATTACGAGAAAATAAAGTTCTCGCGAATAAAAAGTGATTTACAGTATGTGATTTGTTATTGCATTTTGCTCAAAATATCAAAAAATTAACGTGGGCGACGGATGTGGACACTGTTTTCTAATGGAAAATCACCCTAGAAATGTGCCATTTTAAGGCTTTTTTCTGTTGAAAATAAAGAAATACATCACATTATTGACGTCATACGTGCATAATGGTAAACATTCCCGCCGTAATCTTTCCTGATTTATAAGAATCATTTTTAACTAATATTCAAGCCAGTTTCAAACCTTTTTGATATCATTACATATTTAATGTGCAATAAAGCTAAAACGATACCTTCTTCTTTGCATTTAAGGTAATTCCACCCTCCTATGATGTCATAGGTTTTTGCAAAAACTGTAATTAGTTTAAATTCATACCTTATAGAAACATATTTCTTGGAAGAATGCTTTAAAATAGGTGTAATGATAAATATTGTTTAGCTAAAGAATTTAAAAAATGCATATTTTCTATATTAAACAATTATTCAATTTCTAAAAAATGTTAACAAGGGCAATACCTCCTTCTAAGGTCTCTTCATTCAGGCATTTGCTTTAATGTAAAATAGTTTCCCTGCCATTCACAATTCAAAAGTATCTTTAAAGTAGGAAGTATTTAGGAACAATCAGCATCAGAATTATGCATTTTAACCAGTTTCTACATATTTTTCTCAATACTGTTTACAAAAAATGTACAATTTTTTTATGTTGACATACATTTCTGTTTATTTATGTTTAGCATCTTAAATAATATGGTGACCTATACATTTTTTGCAATTAACGAAAAGTTTAAAGTATATTAAATGAAAATAAATGCAGTTTTTGTACTTTGAACCTATAAAATTGTGAGGGTGGAAACTCCTTAAAAAAAGCTTAATCTTCGCTATTTTGCCAGACTGGGGCATCAGTGTTTCACAAACACATTTTGTTTCACTAAATGTATGTTAGTAGCATATATGAATAGCTGATATCTTTTAGGTTTAGTTACATCCCTAAATAACCTTAAAGCAGACCACACATGCGTTCTTTGGACACTCTGGTTGTTGGTTATTGGCCCATTCTATGAAATATGATTTTAAGAGGTGTCTGAGTTTATGCGGGATAAAGAATTTCATGCGGGATGAGTGTAATTCTGATAAAATATAAATACTGATTTTAAATGCAATTTTCATCTTTGCTATGTATTTCCTTATCTTTAGTGTTTTGAGGCTTTAATTCCAAAGTTACATAAAGTTTTGTCCAGACATATCTGAAAAAAGTAGAATTTTCAAATCATACCCCCACTGTCAGATCTAGAAACAGTGAAGGGTGTGTTATACCAGAAGAAGAATTATGTAGCATAAACTCATTTTCAGACTGTAATTTTACTTAAGATGAACAAATATATCATAGACGCTTCATAATAAAAGACTTTTTTTTTCAAAAGTTACACTTAATTAATAAAATTTCCAGATTAAAATACGTTACTCAATCCTAAGTGTGTATTTCTTTTATAAACAATTAATTTTAAATTTTTTTAATTAAAAATAGAAAAGAGTGGGCTAAAAATTTCTTTGATAGAAAATGACTTTAAACAATGTTGTACAAAAATAAAATACATAAAATATTTTTTACCAGTGCTATGTATTTCCTTATCTTTAGTGTTTTGAGGCTTTATTTCCAAAGTTACATAAAGTTTTGTCCAGACATATCTGAAAAAAGTAGAATTTTCAAATCATACCCCCACTGTCGGAAACAGTGAAGGGTGTGTTATACCAGAAGAAGAATTATGTGGAATAAACTCATTTTCAGACTGTAATTTTACTTAAGATGAACAAATATAACATAGACGCTTCATAATAAAAGACTTTTTTTTCAAAAGTTACAATTAATTAATAAAATTTCCAGATTAAAATATAAAAGTTCACGAGCTAACTACGTGTGTTTATTATGACGATCGGCAAATCTCCAATGAGTTCGTTGTGTGCCGAGATTCCCTAAAGCTATTTATATAGTAGAGTATATAGTGTCGTCCTAGTTTTCAGGACTCCTCTGTATTTTACAAGCTCTTGCCTAGTTAATTTTGCGCGCTTTCAAACAAAAGGTGTTTTCTCTCGAATAAACACTTATAAACAATTTGTGACACGTTTTTGTTTAGAATATAATCCACTCGATTTCTAGAGAACTTTTCATTATTGACATCGACTTCGTTCAGGAATAAGCTACAAAGGATTAAATGCTCATTTCAAATTAATAGGTTTATGCGTAAATGATCATTTCGATATTGTCCATTCATAGTTTTTAGAAACATTTACTCTTTAAATGTAATCATATTCTTGGATTATAATACGGCCCATAACTTTGGCGCGTGCACCAATGTTTGTTGTGAATAAATGTAGTAAGTTAGAATTTTACTGAAAGATGTTTAAATTGGATCTTACACCCCTTCCCGAATCAAGCAATTATCTTTTTTTGCTCATTAAATTCATTTTAGTTAATTTAAACCGCTCTTCAAATTCGATGCTATGTCAGCAATTTTCTTGAATAAGAGACTGAACATGACTTAATCAACATGTACAGGATATACATGTTTATACAAAGTTAATGTTCATATTTATCGATATAAAACACCTCTCGATGTTTCCTACAATTAATAAAATCAGAAGAAAAACCAAAACTGGTTTTCTTTGGCCTAACTTGATGAACAGTGCCAGGTAGTCATTCAAGCAGAACGATACCTTACCTGTAGCTGTCCAATAAGTTAACAATGGAAGTGTTCGACAATGGTGAAATGTTTTAAGGTGGATTATCCCTCTTATAAGAGAGATAACTCTTCTGATAAGAGAAATAACTTTCTTCAGACATTTTGTCATGAAATTCAGTGAATTATCATGTCAGAGTTTACATGTCTCATACATGGGAACCATTTTATGGTCAACTCAATCGAACTTATTCTATGGTACAAATGTTGATTTATAGTTTCTATTGCTAATATGTACATTAATGATTTATAATAATTTATTTAAAACATTTATACTCAGTTCCTTTAAACAGTGTAAATTGAAAAATCTCCATCTCTTAAAGTATATTTCTTTTAATTGTACAGAAATTTCAGATGCAGTATTGTTTATAAACATTTAATTAATATTTTGTTTCATTAAAAAATATTTTCAAGGGCGATAATGGAACGATAACTCTTGTTTATAGATGCGTGTTATTTTACATGCACAGAAAACAATTTGTAATTGTGATTTAAAAAG